AGGACCCCTGTGGCCATGTGATCGCTTAACACAGCGATCACATGGTCACAATAGGTGTCCATTTGTCTGCCTGCAGAGGGACTGCCTGTGCTGACAGGCAGTCTCCCTGCTAGTGTAAAATAAAAATAAATTAAAGTTAGTGTTAATAAAAAAAATAAAAATAATTATATATGTGTATATATGATATATAGACATATATTATACCTATATAATATATGTCTATATATCATATATATATAATGTCATACTAAGTGTATTTTTATATTAATATGTACTTATATTAATATAAAATACACTTATAATTAAATTACACACGTATATATATAATATATATAATAACTATATATATTGTATATATATATTATTATAAAATATAAATAATAAGTAATTTAAATTAAATAAAATTTTTTTTAAATAATAATAAAAAATTTAAAAAAAATTATATAGTTATATGAAATTTTATTCTAACTGTATTTTAAAATTAATATATATATATTTATATCAAAATACACTTAGAATGAATTTGTATATATATCTATGTATATAAAAATAAATAAAAATAATAAGAAATATACATATGTCCATATACAAAATTACATAAATAATTATATAAATATACATGTAGACTTCAAATATATAAATATGCATATATATTTAAATTCTACGTGTGTATTTATGTAATATTTTTACATAATTCAGTAATTTTATTGATTGCAATTTGAGGGACCTGCCTGCCAACCCAGGCCGAAATTCCAGAGAATTTAATTTGCTAGCACTGTATTTACCCTGTAACGTTCTACGACACCCTAAAACCTGTACATGGGGGGTACTGTTTTACTCGGGAGACTTCGCTGAACACAAATATTAGTGATTCAAAACAGTAAAACATATCACAGCGATGATATTGTCAGTGAAAATTACTTTTTTTGCATTTTTCACACATAAACAGCACTTTTACTGATGATATAATTGTTGTGATACGTTTTCCAGTTTTTAAACACTAATATTTGTGTTCAGCGATGTCTCCCGAGTAAAACAGTACCCCCCATGTACAGGTTTTATAGCATTTTGAAAGTTACAAGGTCAAATATATGGGTCAAATATTTTTACATTGAAAATGGCCAGGTTGGTTACGTTGCCTTTGAGAGCGTATGGTAGCCCAGGAATGAGAATTACCACCATGATGGCATACCATTTGCAAAAGAAGACAACCCAAGGTATTGCAAATGGGGTATGTCCAGTCTTTTTTAGTAACCACTTGGTCACAAACACTGGCCAAAATTAGCGTTCAATTTAGTTTTTTTACTTTTTTCACACACAAACAAATATGAATGCTTACTTTGGCCAGTGTTTTCGACTAAGTGGCTACTAAAAAAGACTGGACATACCCCATATTGAATACCCTGGGTTGTCTACTTTAAAAAAAATATGTACATGTGGGGTGTTATTCAGAGATTTATGACAGATAATAGTGTTACAATGTCACTATTGATAAATTTTAAAAATGTATGTTTTGAAACCGCAATATCCTACTTGTACCTATAGCCCTATAACATGCAAAAAAAAGCAAAAAAGCACGTAAACACTAGGTATTTTTAAACTCAGGACAAAATTTTGAATCTATTTAGCAGTTTTTTTCATTCGCTTTTGTAGATGAGTAAAAGATTTTTCAAGTAAAAGTCAAAAAACATGTATTTTTTTCAATTTTTCATCAGATTTTTGTATTTTTTTAAATTAAAATACATGAGATTATATAAATAATGGTATGTAAAGAAAGCCCATTTTGTCCTGAAAAAACAATATATAATTTGTATGGGAACAGTAAATGAGAAAGCGGAAAATTACAGCCAAACACAAACACCACAAAAGTGTAAAAATATTCCTGGTCGCAAATGTACAACATCGCAAAAACAGTCCAGTCCTTAAGGGGTTAAGGGATGGGGAGATGCATCTGTGGACATTTGATTTAAGGGTCATTTAAGCAAAAACAAAGGGAAAGATTGAAAAAGATATATGGGTCTGAGCTGGTTAAACTAACTTTTAACATAATGGACAAGACATAAAGGTGATAAAATAACCAATGTGCCATGGATATGCAAAGTATGATTAGCACAGGCTGTAGTTACAAAGACATGGAAATATATACATTGAAAATAAGAAAAAAAAATAATAATCACTAAATATAAAAACATGCACAATAAAAATAACAGGGTATGTAAACATACTTGAAAACAATGAATGACAAAACATAAAAAGAGAACTCAATCTTCCTCCGTACTGCTATTGTCCTCCCCCTGGGGTTATACTGCAGAAGTGCCACCCAAATTCTTTCCACGTTTGTTTATTCAGATCTAGGTCACAAAAAGAACGATAAAACAATGATGAGAATTAGACAGAAAGAAAAGATATGTGACTGTTTAAATGTATACAAGAATATATTATTGTCTTGACTATTCATTTTATTTCTATAATTAAGAAAGTAAAGCTTCCAAAATTATAAGGGACATAAACATGAGAGAACGTAGATCTGATCTTGGGCTGGCACAGGTCACGCAATGCTTCCTCATAGCCTGGTGTGGAATAACTAATTCAGGCCACACCGCATGCATCCATATGAGAACACTAATATAACTGATCCAGCAATCACTAGAAACTTTAGAAAGGTGAATTGAAAGGTCCACACAATGGTTGTTAGACCACAGCTGACTTTCACTGGCTGTAAATCGTAGAGTAACAACAGATAGAGCACTAGTTTATGAGCCATATGCCAAGATGTTTTTCATTAGTTTCCCCAGATTATGGTTGGCATTTTACCTATTAGATACATGTCTTAAAATGGGGCAACATGAAGCCACCAGGATTGCCTTCATTGTCATAGATAATATAAAATGTTAATTCCTCATGATCAATGTAGCTGAGGTGTTGGGGGTCTCAAGGTACCTTAGAATGTATATGTGGCAAACCTAGCCACTTGGACTATAACTGGACACTATGCCTTTAAGGGTTGCCTATAGGTCTGGGGAGATATGCGTTTTAACCTGTATGTGTCTGCTTCATGTATTTCCTGCATTACCTGTAATTATCTGTTCCGCCGAATGCAAATGGCGGTTTGTATGGAGATTCCCTTTCGTTTCACGAACGGCACTTTGGAGGGCCGTTCGTGAACCGAACGCAAAGACCCGTAATAGCCCACACACTTAGAGGCGTGTGGCGCTAGTTAACCGATTGCAACAATGTTGCAATCGGTAATTAGAGGCTCTCCTGGGTGGCCGTCGTTCGACTACCGACCATGCGGCGGTCGGCCATCTTGGATCCTTTGTTCCCTCAGCGGGGTTATGTCGTCGAGCGCCTGGTACTAAAAACGGCTACTCGACGACATGAGCCTCCAGGACGTTCGGGAGTTACGGGACATTCGGTATTTTGTTCCCTACAAGCAATCGGTTCTTTTCATATGTTTTATACGAATTGTGTTTTTCGTGCGGCGTTCGGTTATTTTAGCTGGGATCTGAGCGGTAATCTCACGAATGATGTGCTCAGACCCCAGCTATCTACCGAACGTCCATTCGTGTAAATCCAGTGTATATTCCCCAAGTTATGGATTTTTGTGTGAATTGTCGGTTCTGCTGCACGAGGGGATAATCCCCTTAACGGTGCATTCTGGGAAGATGATCCCTTTCGTGCAGCGGTGCCTGATGGGAGAAATATGCTGTAATGTAAGTCCCCCATGTAGTCCCCTCTGGGAGTGCCCCTGGGGAGGAACTCAGGAAACCCCTTGCATGGGGACTTGTATAAATTGTCCTGCCGATTAAAAGGTTGTCAGTTGACTCCCAGCCTATGTGTCGTCTAGTTCTTGGGAAGGAAGGGTTACTGCAGTGCTGTTTGGATTATTGTATGCTGATTCCCTGGATTATCCTTTGTTGTTCCTGTTACCCAGCGGAGATATCGTGGATTATACTGCCTCTCCGCTACAATTGGTGGCAAGCGACGGATTGAATGCACACAGCAAAGCAACGTTCGGCAGATTTTTAAACGAATCGAGGAACAGGCATTCGGGAATTAGCGCATTCGAATAAACCTCACGAACAGCCAGTGAATGGGAACAAATTACGCCCTGCTAAAACGGAGCACATTAAAGGAGCTGCTGGAAGCAAGAGGAGCAATCGCCAGTAACAAGGCAAATGCTGTCCTCATCACAGAGCTCATGGAATGAGACAGAGCCGCAGCTGCTGCAGCACCTCAAATGGAGGGAGAAACCCACGAATTTACAGCCGAATTCCGAGCACGAATGGCTTTATTCCCTGAACCCCCATCTGCAGAGATGGTTGGCAGGCTTTTCGGTGACGTACAGGAGTACATTATGGCTAGGAGACCGCAAGGGAACCAGCAAGCCTGGGAAAGAGCCGCAACGCCAGTTCAGATTTTCCCAGGGAAAGCTAAAATCCCATATCAAGCCTTCAAAAGCTATGTGGAGACAGAGGGTGGCGTTGACGACTATTTACAGGACTTCGAGAGACTGTGTTTGCTGCACGAGATTAACGATGCAGACAGAGTACCCCTACTAGCGGGGAGATTATCTGGGCGAGCCGCTGAAGCGTACCGGGCAGTACCAGACGAGGATAGTAGAGACTACGCTAAAGTAAAACGGGCCATCCTAGCCAGGTATGCCATCACATCAGAGGCATACCGAAAGAAGTTTCGGGACATTAAAAAACCCACTAAAGACACCCATGTAGAATGGGCACACCAGCTGCAACGAGCTGCCAAGGGGTGGCTGGAGGCCGCCCAAGTTGATACATTGGAGGGTCTGTTCCAGCTAATGGTACTAGAGCAATTCTTCAATGGCGTCCCAACCTATCTACAAAACTGGATTCGGGACAGAAAGCCACACACCCTGCAGGAAGCGGCTAATATGGCAGACGAGTTCCAGGACAATCGGAGAGATCAACCCATGCCGACCCGAGCCGTCATCCCCCCTGCAACGACCAGCACTCCAGGGGGCCCCGCAACTCACCAGCGACCAGGGGTAAGCCAGAATTCCTACCCCCCCAGGTATTCAGCACGTCCACCAATCCGGTGCCATACCTGCAACCAACAGGGGCACATCCAGAGAGACTGCCCACGGAACCGGCCTCGACCCAGCTGGAATAACGCAGCCCCAAGCAACCGTGCCGCAGTCCACTGTCTACAGGCCGAATCCTACCAGAATCTGGAGCTGGGGACGACCCAGGAGGAACCCCTCGGCACCCTACACGAGGTGAACCCCATTCAGGCCGTCTCCGATAACTGCCAAGGGCACCGCCAGGAAGTACACATGGAGGGGAGGAAAGTACAAGGACTTCGTGACTCTGGGGCCACCCTAACTCTAGTACGAAGTCATCTGGTACCAAAGCCCAAGCTCACGGGGGACTGTGTAGCTGTGCGGGTGGCTGGGGGAGCCATTTACAAAGTACCCACGGCCAAGGTACACTTGAATTGGGGAGCGGGGCATGGGAATGTATATGTGGGGATGATGCAAGACTTGCCAGCGGATGTGATTTTGGGCAACGACTTGGGGGAGCTGACTTCAGCTTTTGTTCCACAGCCCACCATACAAGAAGCATACCCGCTACAGAGAGACTCCTTCTCCTGGGTACCACTTGTTAGTGGTGATATGCTGCTATGAATTTTATTTGATGTAAGTGCATTTTGTATTAATAAATTAATTTTTATCTACAATACTGCTCTATATACCTCTTTTTCTTCTGAGGATTGAGCGTCTTGAATTTGCACCTTTGGTCCGTATATACAAGCTTCCTAAGAGAAGAACCTTTTATCCACATACCCTATGGAAGGGAGACAAGTTCAGATCTACAGTTTGGTCCTGTAAGTTCTCTACCTCCGGGAGTGTATTATACATTGACTGTACATGCTTCACTATTGTGTGATTTTTCTTATATTTTAGATCTTGTGAAGGAAGTTTCTTGTATTATCTACAGGTTGTATATATTTTTTGTGCTACCCCTTTAATCTATACTAGTATTTTATACAGTATAGATTTACTTTTTTGTTCAAGAAGCATACCCGGTTGTGACCCGGCAACAGGCCCGCACCACAGCACCATCCGATCACTCTGAGGCTCAGGTAAGCAATGACCCTCCCCTACCCCCTGTCCTGCCCTGGGCCAATTCCATAGAGTTCAGGGCCGAAGTGGCCCTAGATCCTTCGTTACAGGTATACAAAGTCAGCATTGATAAAGATCAAGCAGGGTTAGAGGGGGAGAGATATATCTGGGACAAAGGACTACTATATCGGCACGCAGAGAAGGTAGTGTCCGGGTCAATACCGTTGCCCATTAAACAGCTAATAGTGCCTCGAAAATATAGGTTAGAGCTGTTACGCATAGCCCATGATATCCCCCTGTCTGGACACCTAGGCATCAGTCGGACCAAGCACAGGCTGACCCAAAATTTCTTTTGGCCAGGTATTTCCCAGGATGTTAGGCGATATTGTCAGACCTGTGATACCTGCCAAAGGGTAGGCAAGAGAGGGGACAGATACAAAGCACGACTACGGTCTCTGCCCATCATTGAAGAACCATTCAGTAGGGTGGCAGTAGACATCATAGGTCCCCTCGCAAAACCCAGCCCCTCCGGCAAGAAGTATGTCCTAACCGTGGTGGACTACGCCACCCGGTACCCCGAGGCAGTGGCCCTAACTAACGTACACGCAGAAACGGTAGCCGAGGCCCTGATGAGGATATTCACCCGGGTAGGATTTCCCCGGGAGATTATCTCCGATAGAGGCACCCAGTTTACTGCTGAAGTGACCCATCAGCTCTGGAAGATATGTGGGATACAACAAATCCTAAACTCCCCATATCACCCCCAGTCCAATGGGCTCTGTGAACGGTTTAACGGAACCCTGAAACAAATGATCCGCACGTTCATGGACCCCCAAAAAGACTGGGAGAGGTTTTTACCCCACCTGCTGTTCGCGTATCGAGAAGTACCGCAGGAATCCACCGGATTCTCTCCGTTCGAATTATTATTCGGGAGGAGAGTAAGGGGACCTCTTGACTTGATACGGGAACACTGGGAGGGAGACGAAACCATTAATGGCACCCCTATCTTACCATATGTGCTCGAGTTCAGGGAACGCCTGGAGAGGCTGACCCAGACCGTCCGAGACAATCTCCAGGTAGCGCAGCAGCGACAGCGCAGATGGTATGATAAGGGAGCCAGGGACCGCAGCTTCCAGGTGGGGCAGAAAGTACTAATCTTGCGACCAGTTCACAAAGATAAGCTGCAGGCTTCCTGGCAGGGCCCATACAAGGTGGTGGAACAGATCTGTGACACCACCTATGTGATCGTCCCGGTTACCGGCATGGGAGGCAAACGCATGCTCCACATGAACATGCTCAAGCCGTACCACGAACGTACTGAGGAAGTCACCGCAATCTGTGCCCCTGCCACGGAAGATTTTGACAACCTACCCCTACCCGATCTCCTAGACCAAGAGGGCCAGAGCGGAGATCTGGGAGAGGTACAGTTAGGAGAACGATTAAATGCCCAAGAGCGGGCCCAGGTACAACGGTTACTTCAGGAAAAGAAGGCCACGTTTTCCAATTTACCAGGCTATACCCCTTTGGCTACCCATAAGGTAGAAACTTTAGATCAGACCCCCTTGCGCCAACCCCCATATCGCACTCCAGAAGCAGTCAAAGAAAATATGCACAAGGAAATTGAGGAGATGATTCAGTTAGGAGTGATAGAGCACTCGGACAGCCCCTGGGCCTCCCCGGTAGTACTGGTGCCGAAACGGGACGGGACGACCCGTTTCTGCGTAGACTACCGACGGCTCAATGATAAAACGACCTCTGACGCATACCCCATGCCCCGGATAGACGAACTCCTCGACAAGATGGCCAGGGGCCAATACCTAACCACTATAGACCTGTGCAAAGGGTACTGGCAGATTCCATTAGCGGAGGACGCCATTCCTAAGTCGGCCTTTGTCACCCCGTTTGGCCTGTATCAGTTTAAGGTCATGCCATTCGGGATGAAAAACGCTCCAGCTACCTTTCAGAGAATGGTGGACAGACTATTAGATGGGTTCCAGGAGTATGCCTGCGCGTATCTAGATGATATCGCCATATTAAGCCACTCCTGGCACGAACATCTGGTTCACATAGGAGCCATTCTAGACCGAATCCGAGAGGCCGGACTGACCCTAAAACCCAGCAAATGCCATATCGGTATGGCGGAAGTCGAGTACCTAGGGCACCGGGTAGGGAGTGGGCAACAGAAACCCGAACCTGCTAAAATAGAGGCAGTCGCCCAATGGCCTACCCCTCGCACCAAGACCCAAGTGCTCGCCTTTTTAGGGACCGCCGGGTACTACCGGAAATTTGTGGCCAACTATAGCGCCCTTGCCAAACCACTCACAGACCTGACCCGCAAGAATCTCCCTAAGTTAGTAGTCTGGGCCCCAGAGTGTGAGCAGGCGTTCCAACAGCTCAAGACGGCGCTTGTTAACTCTCCTGTACTTTCTGCTCCTGATCCAACTAAACGCTTTCTCGTCCACACAGACGCTTCTATGTTTGGATTGGGAGCAGTACTGAGCCAAGTTGGACCCGATGGCGGCGAGCACCCCGTAGCTTACCTAAGCCGAAAACTTTTACCCAGGGAAGTAAGCTACGCCGCCATTGAAAAGGAGTGCCTGGCTGTGGTGTGGGCCCTCAAAAAGTTGCAACCCTACTTATACGGGCAACCCTTCACTTTACTCACGGATCACAACCCGTTGGTGTGGCTGAACAGGGTGTCCGGAGACAATGCCAGGCTGCTGTGCTGGAGTTTGGCGCTGCAGCCTTTTGACTTCACTATCCACTACCGCCCTGGGAAGCAAAATGGCAATGCCGACGGGTTGTCTAGACAAACAGACTTGGAGCCGTGATTCGTGAGTACTCCTCCGGACATCCCTAAGCCGATCCGTTGGGATCAGACTGTGTATGCCGGCTTGGTTCTGGGGGAGCATTGTGGCATTGTACCGAACGTCCATTCGTGTAAATCCACTGTATATTCCCCAAGTTATGGATTTTTGTGTGAATTGTCGGTTCTGCTGCACGAGGGGATAATCCCCTTAACGGTGCATTCTGGGAAGATGATCCCTCTCGTGCAGCGGTGCCTGATGGGAGAAATATGCTGTAATGTAAGTCCCCCATGTAGTCCCCTCTGGGAGTGCCCCTGGGGAGGAACTCAGGAAACCCCTTGCATGGGGACTTGTATAAATTGTCCTGCCGATTAAAAGGTTGTCAGTTGACTCCCAGCCTATGTGTCGTCTAGTTCTTGGGAAGGAAGGGTTACTGCAGTGCTGTTTGGATTATTGTATGCTGATTCCCTGGATTATCCTTTGTTGTTCCTGTTACCCAGCGGAGATATCGTGGATTATACTGCCTCTCCGCTACAGTATATTTTAAACTGTTTCCAAATGGTTTGTTTTCAAACAAATGAACAGATCCTAGAGACACCGAGCTGTAGAACTTATGTTACTTGGGTTGTCCCTGTAACATTTAACTACAAAATATGCACACAGTCCACCATGAATTATTGCATATGCGTAATGAATGTGCATGTGCAACATGGGAGAGAAACTATTTTTTTTCCTTAGTCAGGTTAAGAAGTATTAGAAACATTATTTTCTAAAAGAATGTTTTGCGTACATGCTAATTAAATTTTTTATTTTATTTAGTTAGGAGTTAACTGTCACTTTGCATTTTTTTTTTTTATATTATGTTTACTATCCCTTATATTCAAAAAATATAAATTTGTAAGGTGTGAGAAATAAAATGAAATGTATAACTCCACACCTTTTTATCCTGAAACTGGGTGCCTCCGTCTTAGATTCCTGTCAATCATTGTTATAAGCTGCATTTTACACCTGGCATTCAGCAGAGAGAGAGAGAGAGCATACAGTGAAGAGGAGAAATAAATGATTTGTGTTTAGTTCTATTTAGTGGTGTCAGTTCCCCTTTAAATACTATGTTATGTTACCCTTATTGTCAGTAGTGTGTGCATGTGACTCACATATCAATCATTATAAACCTACCTGAAATGCTTTCCCATGATTCATTCTCGCTTTACCTGCAGATCCACAGATAAAGGAGCAAGATTCACCATTTCACGGCGATACATTCTCTGCCCATAAACAATAAACAGCTCAATAGTCCAATCTTATTGCAA